ACTGTCGGGCAAGAGGTCTCGGGTTCGATTTCCGGGTAGGGCAAAGTATTACAGGGTTTTATTAAAAAAAATGTCAACAGTAGCACGGTGTCTGGATTTGTACCCGGTACATGGCAATAGGCTCACCCCTCTTTAAACATGTGACTCATTACTTTTAAATAGTAAAACGTGGGAAATTGTACGGTGGTATTAAGTGCTGTAATGTGCACCTCTGTCTACCCCTTCGGGTATAAAAGGCGTAATGGTATGTTATATTATATTATAGAGAACGAAACCTAAATAATAGCATCGGGATCTAGATTTATGTCTAACGTACTTTCCATCTCTGGTACATAGCAATAAACAAAATTAGAAAAACAGACATGTTGTTTTATTCGAGGAGTTCAGCGACCTGTTTCATGGTTCATGGGAAGATCACTTGCCAAAAGTGTTTCTACAGTCTCACCAATCAATTTTGGATTTTACTACAAGAGCATAAAGTTGAAATTGTGTTATAGAAAGACGGTATAGTGTAGGATGATGTTCAGGCTCACTATTTCGCACCTCTCTTGTCTTTTCGTCAACAAATGTGATGTACATATATGTTTTGTCGAGTTGAAATAAGGAAATAACTACATGTAGAAGAAATATTTTTGTGATAAACACAGACTAGACAAAGTTTTTGTGTTAAACTACAGAAATGGATGAGTTATTTATTAGTGAGCGCACCAGGAAAGACGTTGATAAATGTGCTACAGTTTGTCTTACCCAATACACTACAGGTATTAAACGAAAAATACCGAAAATAAATCCTATTTCGAAGTCATTTAGGTGCATATATGTTAACGGAACTAGTTAAAAACTTGCTTATTATTTGCATAAAAATATGTCCAGCTTTTTGTATAGTTCTCTGAAAAATTCTAAACTAGTTTCGAATGGAGAGGAGAGAAAATACTCGCGCATCTCATTTTCGTAGTCAGGAACGAAAATTAAAAATGTTTTCACCGTTGATATGTTTCACACAAAGCGCATGGAAATGCAAAACATATTGAAATTCAAATACATATATTTTTGATAGTTGACTTGGTGAGTAGTGAGTAGTGTATGTCGTCAAGCGAAATCCCACATTACATTCCGTTCGCTTTCTAACTTCCTACATATTAAGACTACCTCGAGCCTGAACTAGACCCGCATATGAAACATGAACTATTGATTTACTCGACAGTCAACTTACGAGGTAGTTAACTAAAAATCGTTTTACAATTCGTTACTCAGTAGGCTGTGCTACGTGGCGGCGACCGCGCACGCTCATGAGGAAGAACCCCTCTGTGGTTCTAAACTTGTAGAGGTTTTTTTAATATTTTCACGTGATTTTTAGTTAACTACTTCGTAAGTTGACTGCCGAGTTAATTCATAGTTCAGGTTCCATTTGCGGATATTAACATTTTTACATTATTGCTGGTTTTACGAAAGGTAGTATCAGGCAATATGCCCACCCTCTATTACATAGTACTCCTAATATAACTGTTAAAAGTAGGTGCAACGTACATGTATCTACCTCTTCGAAAATGAAAAAATGCGTAACGCTATGATAATAGGGTAGATAACTAATTTTTATTTTACTTTCCGTCCGGTCCATATTTTATTTTCTTACAGAAACTAATACTTTCGACGATGTATTGATTTGAAATGTCGCGTGACGTCACTTCTATGTACATTTTATACATAAAAATGACATTTTAGCCCCCACTCCTAAACTTTGATTCATTATAATTATCTATATTTGTATTTTCGTGAGGCATACTAAATAAATTATTGTAATATCTAAGTATCATTTTATTATACATCAAAATAAAAAAATGCGTTTCTAATATTTTTTCATTACCTAACTGACGGACTAATTAGATTTTTAATTTTCATACCCTGACATCATCCCTATTATGTTACATTAGTAGCTGCCTCCTCAACTACCAAAGGAATATAAATGGCGTTTAATATCTATGTCTTTCCAACTACAGCGTAGAATGTCTTTCGAAATATAGGAAACACATTTTACATTGAAAACATGGTTTGATTAAAGGGCCATATACGATGTTCTACAGTTCTCACAGTTCACAACATACAGTCTACAAACTCAATATGTGAACCCTGTCAGCGTACTACACCGATATTAAGTACATGGAATCCACAGATTAAAATTTTCAACTTGATTGGATTTCAGACTGTTACGCAGCTGTTAATTAACTTTATTAGCCTCTATTAGTGTTGGGTTAAATATTGTGAGTTTGTCCTCGTTTGTGATGTTTCTGGTAATACAACATTTATTTAGATGTCCTAAGTACTGTTGTTCTTTCATACATGTGTGATGACGTTTTTGTAGGATTTTTAGTACTTTGATTTGGACTCTACATTCTCCGTGGACGAATTTCTTCGACTTCGAATTCCAGATTATCCAAGTTGTACCTACTTTGTTTGTTTTTAAAAAAAGTTGTTCCACACTAGGATTTTCTACGGTATCGTAAGTGCGTTTACAAACATACAAGTTCACATACATATGACATCCAGACCCGAAACAATACGGATGCCGATACGGAGCCGCGGAAGACTTAACGGGTTGCCGGGGCTCCGGCTCGAAGAGCAGGAGTAGGAACGGGGTGGTTTTTAGTCAGTAAGAGTCTGACACTCCCTCCCGCCTCACCCGGGCGGAAGAAGTCATTGGATGATTTTCCCCCCTCAAAAAAAAAAAAAAGACCCGAAACAATAATTTGTGGATCACATTACAGGTTGTGCTGCAGCCCGTTTCCCAACCATAGTTATTTCTTCTTCTCCTCTTATAATATCTTCTGATTCACTTCGTTGCGGGAACCAAGACATCTCCCTGGGACGCGCCGGACTTCAGTGTTCTGGTGTTTTCATGGTTGTATCTACTGTAGATCCTGGCTTACAGGAGTTGCAGCGGTTTTGGGAGGTTTTGGCGGGCTTGTCCCATAAAAAAAAGCCCGTTTCCCAGCCATTGCGCTAAACATGCAATCCAAACTTTTACTATAATATTTTAATATAACTTTGGACTTGAGAATAAGATATGAATTCGCACTAAGCAATACTCAATTTAACAATCATTTATTTGCACAAAGACGTCAAAATATACGAATATTTTCGCAAAAATATTCAAATAGATACATACTAAGCTTAAACTCCGCGTATCAACATCTGTTTTAGAATCGTACGACAGTAAAAGGAAATAAAGTGAATCAGATTGATGATTAAATTAATATAAATGAGTTTGCAGACACGAGACACGATTTTATCGCGGTAACAAAAACGAAGAGCTTCGAATATAGGTCGTGTTTATGACAGTATAAGGGACAGTTTTAATGCTACAAACTAAGAGGTCTCTAAGATAACACAGCTTCTTTTAGCACACAATTTTAACATAAGGGTGTTTTCTTCGTTCATAAAAGTTTTCTCTATTGTCTATAATTTTACCTATCAATCATCTATATCGCATCTTTACATGAGGCCACCACCGAATACGTAATTTAAAAAAACATACATACGCACATACATAACCTCACGCCAATCTCCAATGGGAGTAGGCAGTGACTATGGAACGCCAATTGCTATAATTCTTATTACCTCTTTCACTTCCTTAACAGTCATTAGTCTTTCCTTGTACGCTCGTCGGTTAAGGGTATTTAAAAAAACTTTATCTTGTAGAGTAGTGCTCATCATGTTTATTTTAAGTTTATTTACCCCTTCAAGGCCCTAACGGTGGCATGTATCGTTTTGAACTAAAAGATTTTAAAATATGAATGTTTTTTTGAAGAGTGAAAATAATTCTATTTTCTCACCACAGTAGCAGCACACTGTTTTCAGCTCCATGGATGCTAATCTCACCCCTATTAACGACCAATCTTCAAACAAGTTCTTCTGAAATCCTATAAACTTTTTTTATTGCAAACTTTCCCCCGGCTTGGTCTGCAGATATTTTATTCAGCCTCGTCTATGATATATGACACCCTAACAATGGGAAGGTCATTTACGGAGACCAGATAAATCATATTCAATCGGGTGAACTGAAATAAAATTACAAGGCAATTTATTTTATGCAATTTTGTGTTTTTCTTAGTTGGCCTTGTTGATGTCTATGAATTTTTTCTTTATTTTTTTTAGTTAAATGAGTATATTAATTGTATACATTTAAAACTATGGAAATAGAGTTTTACTGATAATTTTTTTATACTTAAGTGTCACCAATAAAATCGCAACAATAAAACTTTTGTTCTTTTAACCAAGAGATTAATTAATGAACTCATGACGATTTTAATATGCTCTAAATATTATTTAATAACGAAATTTCTTAGTTGTGATGTATACATAAATTTAAAATTAAATATATCTTTACTCAATCCACGTAAACATCAAACCAATGACTTCGATAATTTTGTCAATGTCATTGACTTAAATTGAATCTCATTAAGTCGATGGTTCACTCCACAGGCCGTTCATCAGATTAACGACATGACACTCACAAATAGTATTTATAAACGAATCAATTCCAGGGAATTCTATTTTAAAACCCACAATACAACTTCCTGAACTGAATCGGATTTAAATTAACTCTTTGATGAGGAAAATTGTCAAATCAAAATCTAAAGTTATCTTCGTCTAAAAAGGTCACGAAGTTGACAATTAAAAATGTCTTTTAATAACCACTTTTGAGATTTACAATTATATATAAGCCTATATATACTTTTTGGGTAGCTTCTATATAAAGCGTAGTAAATACAATACTGAAGTAACACTTGTTTATTCAAGAGTCATAACAGCAACTACTGAATCTTAAAACCGATTTTAATCCCTGAAAATATTCTAAATAAAATACACGAAAAGAAACAAACAATGAGCTTCTAAGATACATTTAACAATCACTTGGTAACAGTACCACGACTGGCATTCCAAAAACTGTTGCGAGTAACTCTTAAAAACAGTTTACATCAAGATTAACTTTATTGTTCCAGGGCATTCCTTAGAATTCTGTGCGTGTGCTGCCCAAGGAAGTTGCGACGGAAATATCAGCCGCAGCTACGATTCAAACAATCCCAAGTAAGTATCCAAGTTTACTTAGCACAACTTAATAGAAAATAAGTTTTTTTTTCTTTAAAAGTCCTGAAACAAAAGGAACTTCAATTCGGTTGCAAATTAAATTGCTTTTTCTTAGATTGTCATGAATTTGTTCTTTTACTTTCAGTTGCGCACGACTCGACGTTATTACTCATCGAGCGAACTGATGGGCATACAACAGCTCAGACAAAACTCCTGCGAGCAAACTTACATATAGCGAATCAGCTCCATTTTATACACCGCTTCGATTCTCCTCCATACTTCCAAGTGCCTTGATGAAAATATTCAATTCGTATTTTCCAAAAGTTTCTAGAATACTTTATGCGAATTAGGAGCCATTCAGAGCCGTGTGCGAAGGAGTGTAATCTCGGCCGGTGATATTATGTAGACGTTGCTAGTGACGGTTCGTTCGGTCCAGTTCTAGAGATAGGACCAAGTAGAGGTATGTGCAGACTGTCTTGTTATCGCTCACATGTTGCACTCTGTCTTGATGTGCCCCGGTGTGCCCTCGTGTGCCCTCGCCCTTGTTACTGTCCACGCTCTTACAACAATTTGTCTGCACTCGTGTCATTGTTAACTGAGATTATATAACAACCCGACTCTCTGACTATTTTTCAACGCTTCCCATCCCTTTTATCATTTTGTACTAACAACAACGACGCTTCAGTTTTGCATGGTTCTCTAACATTATGTAAAGGTGTTTCTTTTCCAAATAATCACTGGTTTGCATGTCTGGGTTTCGATGGATACCATACCGTGCCGTATTAATTATGGAACGTTCATTACGTTGTTTTTATAATTACAATAAATCACACCCATCATACTGTCACGCCAATACACACACGCTATCTTTGTGAGTTCAGTTCAGTTCAAGACATACTGACACACTTGTATGTTTCACACGATTCGACAAACACAGTTTAAGTACAGACTCATTTCTCTAAATGTGAATCTCTAAAATGATGTTACGTGTTATCTTTACGTAAATCTCTTCATTCCTACGTGTTGCCAGTTGCATGATTCTGATCAAATACTCCGTTTCCGCTTCAAACGACTCCAATAAAAGTCTATGTTGCGAGAGTAATAAAATTCCTCGCATTTTATGGTTTCTAACAGACTTGATTATTGACAGTTTAGTTGTAAATGGAAATCGAATGAATAATGTGGATTGTATTACAGTACCCGGTGTCGACGATGATGTACTCGTCGGTGTCGCAGCACGAGATGTGTCGGTTGTGACATCAGGCGCGCGCGGGCACGTTCCGCGCGCCACGGGCGCGATGCTCCTGATGCAGGGATCGCCGCTCGTCGCGGTCCAACCGCCGCAGCGGCGACAGGCAGCCGTGCCCGGACCCTTACCGCATGAGGGCTATAGAGCACACCTCCTTCGATGAGCCCATCCAGTGCGTCGAGCGACACATGTGCACTGACGTAGTGCCCTACTGCCAGGACTCGGAGTCCGTCAGTGAAGTGAGCCTTGACAGCGAGAGTAGGAACCCCTCGATCAAACGCACTGTTAGCAAAAAGAAAGTGACCTACCAAACCAAAGCGGAAGTGATCTCAAACTAGATAGTTATAGTGTTCAATGTATTTACCTAAGTGTAGTTTTACGTGTCACGTGGCTGGTTGTTTGAGACTGTATGGATCTGTACAACATAATTTAAACTTTATTTTAATAGTTATGAAAGTACATTATGTTGAATGCAGAATGATCACACACATTTTGCATTTCTTACAACTTGTCTAGTCAGTCAACTTGTCAATACGAATCTATGTATAGTTTAGATGTAAATATGAATAGGTAGTATCTTAAATAGCCAGCCAATTATTTCTAGTCATGACTTTCCAGAGGAAAAATTCAATCAGGAGCTGTGATTTACTGATTAGCTGTGTAAATATTTTATGTACAATGTACATATGTAATGTTTTCATCACAAATAATGCTTTAGATCCATTTAATTATATGAAGTGGTTAAACACGCTTCGAAACATTGTAAATATTACTTAACCATTCCAATACTCGTAGAATACCAAAATATGTTCAATATTGTTAAACAAAATTATGCTAGCTATTGTGTTATTGTTACACACATTATTTTAAAAGCACATTTATCACAACATGAGTGTTTTACTTAAATCCTTAAGTTGAAGCAAAAAATGCCATTTTTCCACGTTTAGTTCGCCTCACGTGTCATTATTTTAGTGATTTGATACGTTAGCAACAGTAAAACAAAATGGTGTCATAGTTCAATTATTCATCGAAAAAATCATTCGAATATAGCTTAGTCCAAGCATGTTCTTCCATTAAACATAACCAGCCAGCATTTTTGTTTAACAATCTATTTGATAAAGGTCTGATGAAATATGAATATTGTAAATAAATATAAAAATAAATGTAATATTTTAGTAATTGGTGTAATTACGTATTTTAAACCCTAAGATAGTGGTCTAAAGACTCCTTCCAGAATGCTGTTAAGTTTTAAAATATTCCTTTGGCGTTGTGCGTTGTTAGTTGATGTGTAAAAAATATTCCGTTGTATTTTGAGCTGTGCATCTAAACAAATGGCCAACAAGTCTTTCAGTAATTCGATTCCTTGCAAATTTATCAATGATCAATCAATGTTTTATAAACAAAAAGTTCAAAAAATTGTTCATTTCCTCTCAATGTAATTTTAAACCTTAAAACGCAAGGCTTTGTGTAAACCTATACTTTTGAAATGGTTCCATAAACAAAATATAATATATTTCTATGCAAATATTCGGACTGGCGAACCTGAAAAAGTTGTTTATTTCGACTGGTATCTCCAAAGTTTTGAAACTTCCTTATCGTTATCTAATTAATAATTTTTTTAGCTTGTTATGAAATCTTCGTCAAGATTAGGTGGGGTGAAGCCCCTTAGAGTAACCCTGACCTCTCTTATTTAGGTGAGCATCAAAGACTGAACAGAACGCTCCCGTTAAAATAATATATATTCAAATGTGTGTTGTGTATTATTTTTAAATTATTGTTCAATAAATGATAATATAATTACTGGCAAAAAAAAATATTTAGTATACACGTGTATCCTTCCTTCCAGAAATTCTAAGTTAACCGAATCATATTTTATGTACCTATTACGAATATATATAATTCGGTTTTTTCATAGTTTAGTATATCAGTGCATGATATGAAAGGGGTAGGCAGAGGTGCACATTTCGGCACTTAATGCCACTGTACAATGTAACACCAACTTTTCACTATTTATGTTATGAGTCTCATGTAATAGGGGGTGAGCCTATTGCCATATACCGGGCACATTTCCAGACTCCGTGCTACTACTGAGATTTTTAAAAACCCAGAAATACTTTGACCGACCCCGGTATCGAACCCGAGACCCCTTGCCGGGCAGTCGCACTTGCGACCTCTCGGTCAACGAGAGTTTTTATTATATTATATTATACTATACCACTGAAGTGTCAACTTATCGTACCTATTTCGCATACATGAGATATTCTCATTTTCCCAAACGATATCTAGTCAATTGAGAAATTTCTTTTTTTTTTTACTAACGGCCAAGGTTCTGTGTGTAATTCATATAAGCAGCTTTACATTTTGGAACACAGATTAAAATAATAGTAAATTTCAATGACTTGAATGTTTTAAAAATATGTAATAATTAATATTGAGTGTATATTATACTTATGAAATATAGAATGAATTAGAAAAGTCTAAAAATGTATATTGACATAGATGACTGAGGCTTGGTGTCCAAACTAGTGATTTTTTACTTTTTAATGCTCTTTAAGACAACTGCTACCTATCGATCTGGAAATACGATCTCCGGCCACCGTAAGCGCGGGCCTGCGGACGGCGAGCATGGGTGGCTCCCCGTCCGACCAGAAACAGACCCGAGCGTACGGCGCGTCGCGTTCCGCGCGCGCCTCAAAGAGCCATCAGACCACCACAGATGGGGCCCAATAGGGCCGATGCCGATTCGGAGTCGCGGAGAACCTAACGGGTAACCGGGGCTCCGGCTCGACGTGCAGGAGAAGAAACGGGGTGGTTTTTAGTCAGTAAGAGTCTGACACTCCCTCCCGACTCACCCAGGCGGGAGCAGTCATTCGATGATTTTCCCCCCTTAAAAAAAAAAAAAAAAATCGATCTGGAAATACAACTACCTTTTAAAAAAATAACTCTGAAACCTGAACTTGTCTTCAATGTAATTACTATAGGAAACTTTGAAAAACTCAGTTAACATTCTTCTTCAATAAAAATTCAACCTTATGACTAATCGATACAGAGTTCTATTCCAATCATACTGTCGATTGTTTCTAACCTTATTGTCATACCAGTGTGCCTGTCTTATACATACGGTCGACTGCATATCAGCGGTCAGTTATTAACTAAAAATCAACCCTACTGCTCTTGAGATAAAGTTTATAATGATATGCAGTCGATTGTATGCAGTAGTACCTAAATCTGTACATAACTACTCAGGTAATAAAACTTACTATAAATGTGTACTTCTCACTACAGCTAATTAATAATATTTCAAAATTGTGAATAAATTATATCTACTTAAATTTAAAACTAATTTAAAATGGGTTGTCGTATAAATTTATATAAAGTATTTTTTCTAAAAATGATTGTTTTATTTTTAATTTCTATCCAAGCTATTATCAATCGTATACCTAGGCTTATTATACAGAAATTGAAGTAGAACATAACCTCAAAGTACATAAATCAACAAAAACCTTTGATCTTTGACTTTTTTAAAGGCCATGTCGAGATCATGACGTAGTAAAAGTATTAACTGTGAATTTCAAAATCGAAAAGTCAACGAAGGTTTATCTAAGTTAAAGATCAAACTTGATATGTCATGGCAATCAACTAACATGATAGTATAAAATGTCTGAGAATTACAAATCACTTATGTTCTTCATTTTATAATCATGAACTGAAAGTTCCTTAGGTCAATTGTTAGTATCCAAACAAAATGTTAGTCTTGTCAACAAATTGCCGTCTGTCCCCTGCAGTTCCATACAATAAACAAATCAAAAAAATATATAAATAGCTGTAAAGGTGTCTGTACAAAGTAGGTCCTAACCTATAGCCTGAGGGCCCAGACCGAAACGAACCCAAACAATAATGTTATTTGTCAACAGCTACACTTGAGAAAGGTCAGGAGAAAGTATTTTCATTGTACCCCCTCATGAGTATCACAATACAATTGGAATCCAATAAAAGAATTGCCTTCGTATAAAAACTTTTTGTTATAAACCTTTTTAGAATTTGTTAGAAGATTTATAATGGGTGATTCAAATAAATTAATGTCAAGAATTCAAGATCGAGGACGTCAGCGTGCACTATACATATACATAGTTATCTAGGTGTTGTAAGAGTACCTCAGTAGCTACTGTGGGTAAAAACTGGTTGACATTGATTATGAAAAATAATAGCTTTGCAATTAAAATAATCGTAATATACGTACGTGTTTTTACATACTGTGTTTAGTATGGGCTCCAAAACTATGAATGGTTTAGTTCAAAAGTAAATAAAATAACTTCTACACCGAGCCAGATACTAGTCCCAAACATTACTAAAATTATAAACGTGAAAGTTTGTGGATGGATAGTGGATTTGTGTGTATGGTTGTTCACTCAATCACTCAATCATATATAATATCATTAACCTTTGTATCTTAACAACAGATAACTAACACCAACATGGATTGAATAAACTACCTTAATTAGCTACAACAAACAGTGTACTAATTATGATGCACCCCTAAATTATAAAATTTAAATATATATTTTTATGGCATAAGCCGGTAAACGACGGATCACCTGATGGTGAGCAATCGGCGCCGCCCTTGAACACTTTAAATACCAAGGTGTTACAAGTGCGTTATCGGCCTTTTGAGAATTGAGAATTTGAGGATTGTGAATGATTCGGAGATTGGGGAGACTGGGGGGGTCATTGGGCCTCCGGTAACCTCACTCACACGACGAAACACAATGAAAGCGTTGTTTCACGTCGGTTCTGTGATATACGTTCAAAATTACACGAGGATTATCTGTATCAACCACTATCATAGAACACAAACAAAACAACTCGAAACACACCGAGCTGAGCAGTTTACACCGCAGACCAAAGACAAACTTAGAAGAAAAACAATCACCCCAACTTTATGGACAACAGTTTATTTGGGACTTAGCTGGGATTATAGAGTAGCAGCACATTTTTTTGTCAGAAAAGGGATTATGAGACGTACAGCTGTTGAATCACCTG